TAAGAATTTTAAGTTTTAATTAAAATATTAAATTTGATAGTTTGACTTAATGATTCAATTCAATAGTTTGATTTAATGGTTCAATTCAATGATTTGATAATTTGATTTAATGGTTCGATTCGATAGTTTGATTTGATGATTCGATTCAATGATTTAATTCAATGATTTGAAAATTCAATTAAAAAAATTGCTATTCGAATTCGAACGAATTATATATGATTCGGTTCGACCGGTAAGCTCTACTGTATTTTAACATAATTCGCGATTTCAAAATCACGGCATATGTTGATCATTGAGTTACTTTTGCAATCCCTGCCCCTGCAAAATGGTTTGAATCACATGATCCAACACTTTTCATTCGATTACGCGTAGATTTAAATAAATAAAGTCATTAATAGCTTAATTTTCAGTTTTTCAGCTTGTCAAGTTTGCTTGCCTTTTATTTTTGAGTTCTTTCATTCGAACGATCTTTCTAAGTACATTTAGAACATTTACTTATGGCAAATAGAAAGAAGCGCGCAAATTCTTCTAAACGAACTCATCAAAAAGAAATGGAAAATATTAAAAGTAATACTGAAAACGAAGCAAGCAACAAACGCGCGTACCAGCCGTCACCAACTCGTAGTGAAGAAACAAGATAACGGTCGCGTCTTGCTTTAACTGACACTGACAAATCTTGGCAAAATAATTTGCAAAACTTCGAGACAACCAATATTAACAGCAATTTTGAAGACAAAGATGGAGTTGTCAATGACGATAATGTTTTGGAGAAAAACGCAAGCAATTTAGAAGACGAAAATGCAGGTGCGAGTCCGGGCGAAGAAGATAAAAAAGAGAACGCAAGTCATTCGGAGGACGGAAATATAGATGCGAGTTCGGGAGAAGCGGAAGAAAATAAAGAGGAAACTAAGAATGTAATCTCTAACCAAGAAATAACGGGTAAGTATTTTCTTTTATCGTGTCTAATTCTAAAATGGCGCGAATTTCTACTTATAAATTAATTACAAATATATTTCTGTATAATACAGCTATCGAAACACAAATCGAGATTTCCTCTACTTCTGACACATTGGATCTTACTCAGAGCGTCGCACCAGAATTTACTCTTCCTTCATCAAAGATTTCTGATGAATCTGATACGGTGATTGGAAGTGAAACTAGTTTTCTTGAAGCTGGACCTTCTAATGGTACTTATTATTTAACATAGAATTTTCATTCAATTAATTTAAAGCATATAATTAGATTTATAAATACTTTCATACAATAGAATCTATTGGGCTTTCACGCGAATCGTCATTTATTAGAGCAGCCGATGCTTTGACCTTAAATGATGACTCAGAACTAGATGATGACGATGATGACTCCGATTCATCTGCTAAAAAATTTTATGACAACAGACTACAATTGTTGAAGGCACAATATCGAAGAACAACTTCAGCTACATCATCGCGCAAAAATCAAGAGGCGCGCTTACTCGCCCTATTAGAAGAAATTAATAAAGCTGAAACCTTAGACCCACAAGATCGAGTCGGTACGCCGGAAAACCTGATTCCCACATTGATGGAACATCAAGTAATCGGCTTAACTTGGCTGATAAAAAAAGAAGAAAGTACAAATCATGGAGGAATTTTAGCTGATGAAATGGGTCTAGGCAAAACCATCCAATCAATGGCGCTGATATTGGCACGTCCTTCTCAAAGCAATACACGAAAACCAACCCTAGTGGTTACTCCTGTCTCGCTAATGCATCAATGGGCTCAAGAGTTTGAAACTAAGACACGCGGTTTAAGTGTTTTTGTGCATCACGGCAAGAACCGATTATCAGGCAATAGACAGTCACAGAAATATGATGTCGTAATTACAAGCTATCCGACTGTCGCTGCGGAATTTGAATCAAGATCAGCACCACTTATAAAAACTAAATGGCATAGAGTCATCCTCGATGAAGCTCAATCAATTAAAAACCAAAAAACAAAAGCGGCAAAAGCTTGTTGCTCTATAGACAGTTTATATCGTTGGTGCTTATCAGGTACTCCCATCCAAAATAATATCGAAGAATTGTATTCTTTGATTAAATTCCTTCGAATTGAACCTTACTGTGATTGGAAGGAGTTTAGACAAGACTTTGTCAAGCCATTCTCTACTAGAAATTCTTATGCAAATGAACTCATGACAAAACGATTGCACGTGGTCTTAAAATCAATTCTTTTAAGAAGAAGTAAGAACACAAAAATCAACGGGAAACCAATTATTGTTCTACCTCCTCGTGATGTCCTAATTGCCAATACCGAATTTACGCCTGACGAACGTGAATTTTATATGGCTCTGGAGACAAAGAGCAGACTAACTTTCAGCCGATATTTAAAAGAAGGATCAGTAATGAGAAATTATTCGAATATTCTTCTATTGTTACTTCGACTTCGACAGGCATGTTGCCACCCTTATCTTATTAAAGATCGTCACGAAACTGAAGAAGGTGGTGATGAAAATAGTTTACAGCAACAATTTAGTCTGGAGGAGGTTGTCACGAAATTATCAGAAGAAATCGCCATCAGATTGAAAGAACAAAACCTTGATCAAAAGGAATGTCCTATTTGCTATGATTCGGCTGTGGATCTTTCGATAATTGTAGGATGCGGTCATTCCTATTGCCATGAGTGTCTGGATAGTTTGGTAATTAATCAAAGCGTCAAAACGTGCCCAGAATGCCGGAGTAAATTCACTATGAACGACACAGTGCCGTACTCTTTTCTCAAAAAGAAATGGACTGCTGACAATGAAGATGAGGATGAGAATGACGACGAATATAAAGAGCCAAAAAGCAAGAAGAAAGGGAAAGGAAAGGCCAAAGCTGAAGATACGAACGATATCGAAGATGAGTATACTTATGAACTACCATCTATGATTCCAGAAATTGAAAATTGGGTGCCAAGTGCTAAAATTGAACGTACAATAAGCCTCATTAAAGAATTTAAAAGTAAAGCGCCAAACGATAAGATCATCATCTTTAGTCAGTTCACTACATTCCTGGATCTGGTGGCATTTCAGCTTCATGAGAACGGGTTCAAATTTGTCCGGTATGATGGAAAATTGGACACCAATCAACGGAATGAAGCTATCAAGGCCTTTGAGCAACAAAATGATTTGAATATTTTGCTAGTCAGCTTGAAATGTGGCGGGGTTGGATTGAATTTAACAGTTGCAAACCGGGTGATCATGTTAGATCCATGGTGGAATCCCGCGATGGAAAATCAAGCCATTGATAGAGTCCACAGAATAGGACAAACGAAACCCATCGAAGTACATCGAATCATTATTCCCGATACTATAGAACAAAAAATCCTTGATCTTCAAGAAAAAAAACAACAACTGGCGTCAAAGGCATTAGGTGAAGGTGGAAATGCGCAACTTGGCCGTCTTGGGCTTCAAGAATTATTATATTTATTCCGAGACTAAAATATTTCTGTTAACCAAATGAAGAATTGAATATGTAAATCCATTTTTAATATAATATATAATCTCAAGATATAGCCTATCAATTAATATGTTGATTGGGCGTTATCTCTTATTTTAAATATAGTTGTTTCTCGCTGGAATCAATAAGAAACTAAGCGATATTTTAAACCTTTCATATTTTTAGTTTTAAATACATAAATTCTAATACCTAAGATTTTATTTTTAAACAAGATTAAAATTATGATTAAAATAAAGATCAAAAATATATATACTGTATCTTCGACAATAAACTCAATATATTTGAAAATATCACATGATTTATGTGCTCAAGCTAAATAATTATTAGTAGTCAGCTGATATG